ACGAAATACGCTTTGACTTGTAGCTTTCGAAAGGTGATTCGGGCGCTCGCATTTAGTGGTCGTGAAAAATTCGACAATTCATTTTCTTTCAAAATTCTTCGTATAGTTTGATAGCCAGCTCCATAAGCTTTAATTTGATATAGGGGTTTAGGTATCTACAGTTTAAACTGCACGCGCTACATCGCTTGCGCGCGAGACACCCCTGAAGGTATACTGTAACCTTAATGTTACATAACGGACAAAGTTGCTCATTGTGAAGTCGTCTATACAAAAGGCGTACAGAAATAGCTAGGCACAAACACCATCAAATTACAGCTGTATAGTTACCTTCCACAGAAGCCAAATTGTCCCCATCGTGTTGATCAGTTGTTAGCTGTGGAATATAAAAAGAAAAGAAGTTTCAAATTGTATTTCGCACTGCACATTCCAAAGAAAGTGGAATTCAGGAAACCTATTCAAGGTCAAATTGTTCCTTACGTTAAGTTTTTTCCAACCTTGGTCAATATGTTTCAAGCGTCTGTCCTGTTATTGACAATGAATTTCGTCATACCATTGTCAAAGTAGTCTGTGGATGCACAGCTGCTTTGACAATGTTATGACGAAATTCATGATCAAGAACAGGACAGACGCATGAAAAACTGACGTCAATTTGTTAATTTGACAACAATGTTATTGATAAGGAAAATTTGCTTTAAGTTCTTCACCTGATTTCTTAGAGTTGTGGACCAAGGCGCAAACTGAGCAATCTGAACTCTGGTATTGACCGCAGCAACTGACTTGGTACAAGAGATAACCCTTTTGGCATTGTACAACTGAGACTGGGACCAGAAGTGCAGGCATTCCTCCTGCTTGCAACCTTGTACATGATGAGTGTCACAGTAGCCAACAGCACCTCCTTGACAACAGACTGGACAGATGAAACTTGCTTCATATCTCATACACTTTAGCCAGCAGAATTCCTTGCGCATTGACTCAAGTATCGTTCCCAGCTGTCTAAACACTTTGCAAGGAAAGGTCACATCAGAAGTGTCATAGCTAGCATCCGCAGACAAAGTCATCTTTGACAGTGGGCTCTCTACTCCTGACTCGTGAATGGGATTCTCTCTGTGAACAACAACTTTTATGGAAGATGAAAGGCACAGAAGGATAACAGACCAGTTTTCTTCTTCAGAGGTGAAAAATCTGGCAAAATTGTGGAACAGCTTAGTTCTTCCTGGATTCAAAAAGATTTTTTTGCCACACTGCAAGAACAACAGCACGAGTCGAGGAAACAGGCCAGGCGGAACTTGCCTAGATTCAAATTTAAGAAACAGAGGAGGAATTTGACTCGATGCAACCTCTACCAACTTCATGATATCCTCTGGTGGATGCGTCCTCAACATGCATGGCACCAGGTACTGCTTATCACATGGAGACTCGGATGAAGGCCAAGGACAAAGCAAGCTAAATTTCCCCATGATTTGAAGAAGTCTCTCACATGTTGCTCTGTCGTCAAACAAAGGACCCCAAACTTGCCCCAGAAGTTTTTCGTCCAGGATTCCCTTGTTCTCAAGCTTGCACCAAAGCTCCGTGAATTTTTTGCTTTTACGGTCATAAGGCCTGACAGTTATTACCTTCTTGAACACATCAATCAACCACTGTGGGTCCAAGACAACCAATTCATTCAGCTCTAGAGTGTCATCAAAGTGAATCAAAATTCTTTTGTCGTGCAAAAAGTTCAGTAATGTCTTGAATTCTTTACTATCCACAACATTGCACTTTTCAGACGCAATATTTGTTGCAGTTTCAAGGGATATCCATTTGTGACCCTCTTTGCTCGCGGCTTGAAGTTCCTTTTCAAACTTTAACCACTTGATTGGAATGGCTTCTTTCATCCGCGGCAGCTCCTTGGCAATGGCAAGAACTTCATTTCGCAAGCGAACGACTTCTGGACATTCGGATTCAAGACCTGACTTGGTGTTATCCACAACAAAGACATCATGCAAGTGCATTTTGTATGGCTTGGTCTGTAGAGACCCAAATAACTCACCGGCCAGTGTACCAGGGTCACCACCATCATAAGGCCTATCAGCATGAGTGCAAACTAAAAGAACTGGGGGAAGTTTCTCTGGCAAAACCTCAGAATCAGAACCTATCGGCTCACGTTCGTTTTGACACGTTAGAGAAGCGATAGAAAACAACCAGAAGTCTAAATAGTCCATGTTAGTCTTCATTCCAAAGCTATCTTCAAATTTTCTGTACACTCCTTGCTTCACAACAGGTTTGGCTGCTTCAGAGGGATTTTGGCTAAGGTCATTAACTAAAAGATAGATCGCTCTAGAAGTAAGAAAAAGTGGGTGTGTTGCGTAGTAAACTAATTGTCCAGCAAAGTCCCACAAAACTGAATATATGCCTTCTTCGTCTTCCATTGTATGGTCGTTTTGCATTCTCTTTAACATCTCATTTTCTATAACTTTTGGTATCTGTGATATGTTGCTCCTTAGTTCTGAGTCCCTAGATGAGGTTGCTTGAGATCGTGGGTCTTGGCTACTTGTGCTAGACCCATCTGAACCAGAGCTATATGAAGCTGGAGATTCTGAAATAAAATCATTGCTTGCCAGGACTGTGGCACCCATGGGAATCTCTTCCGCCAGAACGCTCTTTTCCTGCCTCAGATTTTCAACAGTGACTCGCGCTGCATGGTACTCAAAGGAAACAGATGTCTTCGAACTTGTTTCTTGGTCCTTCTCCCCTGCCTTCCAAATCTCAGTTGAGACTTGGAAATGAGAAGGATCAACATCTATCCCTACAGTGCTCTTTTCATTTGGGTTAAAAGGCTCTCCCCTGAGTGACTTCTTTAAGCTGGTCTTTCCTGACCGATCTTGTCCAATCAACATGACTGGCACCCTCTTGTCGAACGTCTTTCCTTCAGCTAGGGCCTTGTTGTAGGCTTCCAAAGCCAGACGTCCTCTTACAACAATCTCTGGAGGTACTGAAGTGGAAATAAAAATATTAAGTTACTGAATTTATCGTTACGTACTGTCATATCACTGTTATGTGACAGCATTTATATCGGATTTATATACGAATTTAGGTTAACGTATATAATATTTAGTGATATTGACAGAAGTAAAAGAACTTTTGAAAAACCGGTAGAGCAATTTCAGTGAATCTCTGGATCTCAGTCGTTTTCTGGTAAGCCCATATGGAACAGAATGTGTCCACATACACTTCAAACTTTATTTAGAATTATTTATATACTCTTTTTTTAATAGAACAATACAGCTGGTGAGGATCCATTGGGTTCCTTCAATTGACTATTCGTGCAAAGGCTAAGGCTCAGATTGAATTTTGCCAAGCTGGAGTGTAATCACGACCTTCTTTCAAGTTTGTTACACAAACGGACGGAACACACATTTATAGCTAACAGGTTAGCGATCCTAAAGCAAAGCTGTAAACAACGACAAATTTCCTCCGCAGCACATGATTTTAAATTTTTGGATTTTACATCAATAAAAAAAATATCCCTGACCCTTGAGAAAAAGTAGTAGATACTTTTTGCGCTCGACGAAGGAGAATACAAGCCTAATCTTGTGTTCATTAGCGAAAAAAAATTACGTGTAACGCCAAGAAAACGGCTTAGCATCTCATTTAAGTCGGCATATTGAAAGGATTCGAGTCCCACTGACCTAGAGAAAAACTACTGCTTGTATTGGTTAGCTTTTTCTTCGTAGGTGAGGTTGTGCATCATCTGCTCACGGCAGTCAAATAAAATGAAATCTAGGTACATTTTGAAAAACTCTTCTTTTGCCCAACCATATAAATTATGCAAATTATTTACCACGTTTATCAAATTACAATAGCGGAACGATAAGGCATGCAATTGTTTATTTTGATCCACGAGCCGCACGCCTTGCCAGGTCTTTCCCTACATTTTCTACAAAGAACGATAGTTTGGTTGCTCGAGTCTTTCTTAAATCCTTTCAAGTTGCCACATATTTTACGTAGAGGCTAAGGGTGCGTTCTTTGGGGGTGGTCTGGATCAGGATCAGTGATCCAAGATCGCTCAGATCATGGTGCATGAAAGGAACCGATGAATCCTTGAACAAAGTGGATTCTTCGGTTCCTTCGATGTACCGATCCGAGTTATCATTGATCCTGATCCAGACTACCCCAAAGGAATGCACCTCAAGTTTGTCAAGTTGTTGTTGTTGTTGTTGTTTTCTTGTGCATTAGTTTTCACCTGGCGGAGCGACTCATCCACTCTACTTTTCCCTTTTGGCTGATTGGATACCAAAGTCAGTAATAAGATTACTCCTTGACTTGACCTATTCAGTTAAGTTTACTAAGGACAGGTCCATACGTCGCACTTCTGCTGTGTTGGATTCAATTCAATTAAGTGCGGCAGAAATGCGACTGTCGATCCATACGTCGCACTTGTGCTGCACTTATTATCAAGTAAAAAGCCACCCAAATTCTACAGTAGCTTGGCCAAGTGGTGGTGCAGAGAACACAGACAACAAAACTTAATACAAACCTGCTGTGTGTGTGTCAATAGGGTTCTTAATAACACCGTACTTCTCTATGTCACCTACATAACAAGCGTCCCTGACAGTTACTGATCGAACCTCCCCTTCAGAAGCTTCAGCTGTTGACTTGGGTTTGGCAACTTGCTGATCAACTTCCTCAGCAACTTTGCTACCTGCAGCAGACCTTGTGGCATTCGTTAATGGTTGAGCTGCATCCTCATGTCGATTTTCGACACTGGTTTCTACACTTCTTTCAGCGGACCACTTGTTCCAAGGCACCTCTAGCTGTTGTAGCGTAATTCTCCCTAAAGTTGAACCAAACTGCTCTAAAAAATCTGCGCAATAACTATTTCTGGTGCCACCGGTACTGCCTGTTAAACTCCCCGATGGTTGACGATTTAGAATTTCCTGTTCCACATCTTTGTTATAATTGGGATCTTTTATCTGGATTATTTTTCTCTCCCGTGCACGGCACTCAAAATTTTGAGTTTGAAACTCTGGCATTCCAGTCATGGCAGCACTAGGAGCTCTGACGATATAAACAGGAGGTGAGGGCTGTCCCATGTGATAAACTGTTGTCTGCGGATAGCCGTCCGGTCCTTGTGGCTGTGAAGGACCAGATAAAGGTGTATATTGGCCCTGCGTTGTTTGCTGAGGTCTGTATTGTTCCATCTCGCTATCCTTGCTCTCGCTATCCCCGCTCTTGCTGTTCTCGCTCTCGATATCCTTGGCTAATAATGTAGCGACCTGCGCTGCAAATTGGGCATTCACGTTCTGTTCTACCAACAGAGACGGTGTCCTTGAGCTACCAGACTGCTCTGAGATATCTGGGGAAGAATTATTTGTGGAGCCACCGGTACGGCCTGTTAAACTCCCCGATGGTTGACGATTTAGAATTTCCTGTTCCACATCTTCGTTATAATTGGGATCTTTTATCTGGATTATTTTTCTCTCCCGTGCACGACACTCAAAATTTTGAGTTTCAAACTCTGGCACTCCAATCATGGGAGCAGTGGGAGCTCTGACGATATAAACAGGAGGTGAGGGCTGTCCCATGGGATAAACTGTTGTCTGCGGATAGCCGTCCGGTCCTTGTGGCTGTGAAGGACCAGATAAAGGTGTATATTGGCCCTGCGTTGTTTGCTGAGGTCTGTATTGTTCCATCTCGCTATCCTTGCTCTCGCTATCCTCGCTCTCGATATCAGGGCCAGATACAGGCGGAAATTGCTTTGCTTGCTGAGGTCTGTATTCCATCTGAGGCGGAACACCCATTGGAATTTGGGTGTACTCGACCTGTCAAGAAACATACCCACGCAAGCAATGCAAGAGTTACTTTTTTATGGATGGAAAAACTGACGTAATGATAGGGTAGGACATGTAAGAGAAAACTTAGCGAATGCTGTAATAATAGGAACAGATACAGGTGGATTAAAATGCCACTTTGTGTTGTTTCACTTTCTTTGTTTCAATAGCATGCGTGGAAACTAGCTAAGCTTAGTGCTTGTATAGCTAAGTGCATGACCACTATAAATAACATTTAAATTTTACATTTTTAGGCAGAGATAAGGGGCGGATCTAGGAGTTCCTGAAAAGTTGGGGGGGGGGTGTACACCTTAATAACTTTAGATGCCATTGCCGTTGATGATAAGCGCCGCAGGCGCGAGCTTCCAGCGGGGTCCGGGCCATGCATCCCTCGGCAACTTTTTCCAATTTTACCCTTTAAAACACCATTTCCAGCATTCCTGACTCTTGAAAAACGTTTGTGAAAGTATGATATAGAATTTGGAGTTTCCCTTTTATCGACCTGTAAACCAAAAATAATAATGCAGTCGCGAAATGTACATTATCTTTTCCTAACTTGACTATCAGTCAGATGGTGGAAGTGAAACAACTACAACTGAAACAACTGTCTGAATTTCAGTTGAGAAATGAAATGTCCCTTTTCATTGGTTTTTCACATTCTAAATGTGTTTTTTCTCTACTCTGTGTGTTGAAGAAATCCACAAACAAATTGTACACTGAAGATGTTTATTCTGTTACTCGTCCTTCCGTCGGTTCGGTACAGCTGAAAGTTACAAATGTAAAGNAGCAAACTTTCCGCCTACACACAAACAACGCACATCAAACTGCTCAGAGCACATGGTCGCAGAAATCACGTGACCCGCCCAAGGGGGGTACAGAGAAGCACGGTAAGGCAAACTGTCTCTAACACTGTGAATAGATCGTAACACAATGACTATTTTTGAGCTATTTTGTGGTTTATGTAAGTTACCTTACCTTACCTTACCTTAACGCTTTTTTTTTTTCCTTTTCAATTTTTCCCCACGCGAGGTGTAAATCGGAATTTGTTCCATCAGAGAATCGCGCGTGCGGTTTTGAAAGATCAAACACGGTTAATCTGACGGCAGCAACAGGCATTATAGATCATGGTGCATACGACAGGAATTTCTGTGCGAACAGCGAGCAAAAGTCTTGTTTTTTAAGAAAAACAGAAGGTTTTCACCCCGGAAAATCACACGGAAATGTCAAATCTCGAAGTCATCTGAAGCATGAATATATGATACATGCAGTGAGCGGGCATCGCAAACTATAATTTCGTCCTACGGTTACCGACCCAAATATTAGAAAGTTGTTTCCAGCCATTGGAAGTCATTTCTCTTTATTTGTTTACGAAATAATATTGTGTGACATTTTGTAATGTTATGCACAATGAGTTGGTCACTTTTTATTACATAATTAACTCAACAGTACTCAACAACAGTACTCACTTTGAAACCTTAAAATCTGCCTACTTATTTCCAAAAGAAAGCTCTCATTTAAGACATGTTGAAGTGAACTGTATTTGGCAATCGATCTTTCTACACCTTTATTGCTGGGAAAAACTTAATTTTGAGCTCTGCAAACACGGTACTCACTTATCATTGTTAAGAATTGTTTCTAAGTCAACTCTTGCACACTGAATCAAGTGAGTGCTGTTGTATTCACTGCCACAATGCTGTGACGTGACTTTTGTGAAATAATTTCGAAAACGTGCCATAAATCTCGTGTTGAAAAATATTTTCGCTGGTTTTCTTAGTTGATACTTTGAGGAAATTGAATTAACTCTGTCTTTCTTCGCCGCTGAGTACTGTGCGATGACCAACGAACACTGACGTCACTACCCGAAGAGTATAGCGCCTCAGTACCTTCGTACTCACTGAAACGTGCTGTAATAACTGTTAAGGTGATCATTAAGATTGACTTAAATACCAAATTTGTCGTTCAAATACTTGAAGTATTTGCACATCCATCACATAAAAAAGTTTCTATATGATTTGAGATCAACACCTTTCCCGGTGTGTCCAAAACCATTGGAAAATACGGAAAAGCCGTTTAAAGGCTCTTATTGAATGCCTTTCTAATCTCAGATGTTCACATTCTCGGGTCCTAAATGTACTCAGGGCTAACAAAAAACCTAATTGTGCATTTTTCCATGAGACGTGAAAATCAGACAATCGTAGACAAAAGTCCTTGGGACACTTATGTATGATTTAACGAATTGTCCGGCTTTTACTACTGAAGTTTGACAAGAGCGCTGCTTTCCTTTTAAAAACGTGTTACTGTTCCCCCTGCCCACCCAATACAATGTTAGAAATCAGAACCAGGCAGTAGTTTTCAACATTGTATGGGGGGAGGGGGCCGACGTTCGGCAGGTGAAGTTGTATTCGTGTCTGGCGTGTGCGCCAAAGCGTCAAAAGTGCAAATTTGTCCAGACTTTTGTCCATGATTGTAGGTATAAAACAAGTGTATTCTATTATTTTTATGATTGGTCAAAGAAATAACAAAAGAATGATGCTCAACGGGGGGGGGCGAGAGGGGTTTGCAATCCCTGGATCCGCCTCTGGTAGAGATATTTAGGTGTAGTCATAAATGGTAATGCTAACATTAATCCAACAACTTTTTAAGGTTATGATCAACAGCAAAAAAATACGGATTGAAACCTTACAACGCACATAGAATGACGACAATAATTAACATGAATAACGATTAAAGTAAACTTTACGTGTTATTGATAAAAGTTTGGCTGGCCTGTTATGATTTGTGCTGAAAAATGGTCGTTCAAGTCAAGTGCATGAGATGGTTTAGGCTATGACGACATTTTTTTTTTATAGGCAAGAGAAGAAAATTTTTTCTATAATTTGTAAAAGCATATAAACATAAACAAAAGAGCTATCCCACGGGCAAGCTGTCATTGAGATTACTATAGGGTAAACCTCTGGGGAGCTAACCCAGGAGCTAAATGAAATCAAATTTGGCGTCATGGAAGACTGTGCGTGTACTTAAAATTGTTGTTAGTCTTCTATGTCCACAAATTTCAAAATGACTGAAGAAAATGACAGATGAAAAACTTTTGCAGATTAATATTAAATTTCAACATGGGCTAAACGGCAAATCAGGAAGCAAAAGCACCGAATTCGAATGAGTTATTTCCTCTAATGTTTACGCTAATAAACGAGCCATTTACAGCACAGTTACACAGGGAGCAGAGGAGGGCTATTTGACCGTCTTTCCAGTCAAATTCACCGTACAATTGCAGCGCGAATCGATCTGTTGTTGATTCAAATCACTGTGTGCGATTGGACTGTGTTCATTCGATCGTGTTACACGTCTGTTGGTAACCATTAGTGATAAGCTCACAATCAGTGCTGTCTGCGCCTTTCATCTTACGCATTGGATTTCAACATATGCGTGACACCTGGCTTGCTAGTATTTCTCCAATAAACATGATTTATCCCCTGAGAAGAACATTCCTATACAAAGAGGTACAGTACATATGGCAATTTCCTAAATCTTCTCCTCATGAACATGCTAATTGGGAATGCCAGAAGCCTATCACAAACTTTGCACTCAAGGTTTGACCACAAAGGTTGCGTTCCATTGAGAATGGCGGTTCAGCTTGCAAATGACATTTAATCAGCTCACACTTACATGTCGTGGAATAAACTGTGGGCTTTGCCCTGGGGGGATGAAGGGCGGGGGCCCTGGTCCTATCATTTGTACTGCCATGGGACCTCCTGGAGGTGAAGCGTACATTGGAGGATTGTTTGGGTTTTGGTGTCTTGGAATTCTTATGGGTCTTTGGCCATGGTAGAACTGTTGTTGATCCGGGAGGCGGGGTTGTCCTTGAGGTGTCTTTTCTTGGACAGGCGTCTTACCCAGTGGCATTTGTGCTTCACACTACATGAGTAAACAAATTAAAACAACAACACAAAGATAAAAGTATCATAATTTGGATCAATTAAGGTGGCTTACTACAGTTTTTTGGAGACTAGTAGCACGCGCTATGATTACTTCCCAGATGTCAGTATTAATCGTATCTATAAAGAAATTCTCGATCGTGATTGGTTCTCCGCGCGCTTATTTGCCGCGTAATCGTCGCGCGATCACGTGGGTGTCCAATTACAGGTATCCAATTTGAACTTTTTGTAATTGGACACCTGTAATTGGATACCCACATGATTTGCACGTCAATTACGCGCGCTTTAATGGCTTTCTGTGCAATGTTTCCTACAGTTTTGAAAACTTATGAAACGCGCTACATACGTTTTTCGCTCAAAAGAAGTTCTCAAAAGACATTTTTAATTCCGAAATTTGTTATAGATTGGACCTCGTGTCGTACAATTCAGGGAGCAATCGTGCTCGTAATTTCAAATCGGTCTCGCGCTTCGTGCTCGTTCGATTTTGAAATTACTCGCGCGATTACTCCCTGAATTGTACTCCACTCTTGCTTTCTCGCACGCGATACAAGGTGTCACATGAGCGCGTGCTTAAATAAGGGGCATGCGCAATTCAATTCTCGTCCAAGGTTGTAAAAGCCAGTCTTTGACTGAGGATTGCTCGAAAACCTACGGTACAACCCATGATGAAATTTTCACAGTCGATTTGTAGGGGTGAATCACGTGTAGAGCCAAAATTTTAAAAAAAATCTGTACGACAGATTTTGAGCTATTTTTGATTTCACATTTTCTTAGTTTGCGAAAAATCTGTCTTACAGATTTTTTTTTTGCTTTGCATGAATGTTAAATCAGAGCCAATTTCTTATTCCTGAAATTTTGAGGTGGGGTCACACAGTTAGATTTTGAGAAAAACGTGATTTAGCCTACTAGTGCCCAGTCTCTCCTTAGGTACTCGGTCGTTCATTTTGGCCAGTTGTTGACGTTTAATTGTTCAAGTTTCACATGGAATGGTAAAAGACTTACGTAAACAGTAAATAGAGAAAGGAAAAACATCTTGGAACATTTTTCAAAAGAGTTAGAAGTTGGGCTGTTATAATCCATCAAAACTGTACTAAGCCACCTTAAAAACTGTACTCCAATTTTCCATTGCTTTTAGCGCAGCATCGGTCAAACTCGACTATTGTAATAGTTAATTACGGGAACTGCGTGATACAGCAATGAAGGAGTAACTTCGTCACACAATCTTTCCTCCCATATTAATGAACCGGCCAGTAAGAATGTGTGGGAAGGAGCCGACCTCTCATGTATCAACACTGAAGAAGAACGTCAAAACAGACTGGAACAGGCCTGTTGCCGTCAACACATTTTACCTTTTTCACAATCAAACAGACACATTTCGGAAATCAAAAACTCACTTTAGAAATCAAAAAGACAAATTTTAGGAATAAAAAAACTATTTGAGAAGTCAAAAAGACAAATTATGGAAATAAGATAACGAACAGAGACAAATTTTGGAACAAAACCTCACTTGATAAATAAAAAAATGAACCAAAATAATCAAACAAATTTATAAACGCAAAAATTGTTATAAGAAATAAAAGGTCCACAAAATACATCAAAGTAACTTTTTCAAAATCTCAAAGTGGAGACCTTAAATCAAAATCGATATTTGCAGTAACAAGAAAACAAGACAAGAATCAAAACAAATATTTTTTTTCAGTGATACTTCTCAAACACCTCAGTGAAAGACATGCCTAAGCCCGCATGCAAACAAGAGATTCAAATTTCACTAGATTTCAAGGTATTCGACAAAATGAAGAATCTAGTGGCCAATATGCAGTTCTCAAGTACTACAACATCAATGATGAGGTCACATCTGCAGTGCAAAGCTGCCAAATGAGGCCTGTGAAGGAGCAACGTTCTTACACAACTGACAGGCGGTCGCTTTGCTTCATGAATACTAGTTCACTAAGCAAAAGTATCAGCAGATCAAAACGAATGCTTGGAAACTGTGTTTGGTTGACAGATTAAGTTCTCACCGAATATTGAGAGACAGGAGCAATTCTCTGTCTTTTGATCGGCCACTGTGGGCCATTTTCAAGAAATCACTACTGTGAGCCATGCCAACTCCCAAGAATGATGTTTTGATTGCAGAGCAATCTTGATGCAACCTTCAAACCAGCATCACAGATGTTCATGAAAGATCACTTGCTGAGAGACTTCCTGAAAGACACCCGTCCTGATGACCTTCAGAGTTTGAAGCTATGGAACTCAAAACAGTAGACCCTTTTGAAACAATTAAGATAAGCATTATGAGAAATTGCCACAGACAAGACTACCAAGCAAGCCTCAGCCATCCAGACACAGATTACCCAGAAGTTGCCAGTGTACATCTGACAAAACTGGAATTTTAAGGAAGAAACAACACTAAACAGAGTTCACAATGGTATCTTGCTAAAGAATCAGCGAGTCAACATCCTGAAAACCACACGAGCAGTACTGACCACCAGAGCTCATTCCAGTCATGAAGCATGCATTCAAAGAGTAAAAGATGCAGTTTTGTAACCCTCCATTGGCTGTAAAGACATAGAGCAATTAGGAGCAAGGAAATTATGCGAAAAAACTGAGTCATGAATTTTATCAGTTCCAAAGTCAAAAGACTACATTGGAGAGAGGCACAGTGGGGTAGTAAAGTGACTTGCCCAAAAACAAAACACAACATCCCTGGCCAGGGCTCGGACCCGGACTGCTCAATCTGGTATTGAGTGCACTTAAATCATGAGGCCATCATGTCTCCCACAAACTAAATAATTTATGGTGCATGGTGGTAATGGCATAAAATTTTAATCTATTCACCTGGAAAGCCTGTAAGTGTGTTGTATTGAAATCGTCTGTCCCTAAATGTGACCAAATAAATGAGGAAAAAGTCAGTCGCATTTGAGCAACCCTAAACCGCTGAATCTGTAAACCAGAATCTGGAATCCAGGGGTGCTTACCATTATGCCAGACTGACCAGTCAGACCGGTAGGAATACCCAAGGAAAATAGAATGGCAATTTCCAATCAAACTGGGCCAACCAATGGGAATGGTTCTTTAATCAATTACCTATTTTTAATTCCTTTACTGAATTCCCTGCATACATGACGAGAAGTAGGGCAAAGAACCAATTTGTCAAAATGGGGTCATGGTCCCAGGCATTCCACGCAAATGACGTGATATACAGAATGCAGTGTTTTGTGAAGTATTACGTTTTGGAGAGAATCACACCTTATATGTTCATCTCACATACAAAGATGTTGATCGTTTTCAGAACAGGATGGTCCCGAATTATCTTGCTTGAAAGCCTGCCAAATACGCAAAGTTCATGCTTGTTTTTACAAGAGGACAAATGAGCCGTGTATGAGTTTAAACTATGGAGGCACAGGCACAAATCTATGACTAGTGACTTAAAAACAAAGTATTATGCTGAGACCAACACCTCAGATGTTGAAAAAACCAAGAATCGTCATAAACAGAACTTCGAAGGTGAGGCAAACATCATGCAATTGGACAAAGAGGATCCTCAATGAAGCAACTTGAATAGTGAATATCTAAGTGCAACTCTTGTGTTAAAATACCCCAGGTGATTCTTTTATTTGTTTTTATTGTGTTCAATCAGCTTACTTGTAAAGTATGATTTGATATTGTGGTTCAAAGCCCAAGCAATCACTCTAAACTGTACAGGTTAAGCTATACATGTATTTCAACATAGCAATGCCTGCTTCAGTAACAGCAACAGTTGTTTACAGTCCACAAGTACACACAAAATGGATTCAATTCAGTTTTTTGCCCCCAATTCAATTCAATTCAATATTCTGCCCCCCAACCTGGCTGTCATTTAGTTAACATGGGTACACTGCTATGCTACTCGCTATCTATCACAGAATAGATAGTAAGTAGCGTAGCCAATCTGTGAGCGGCATTCATGATAGGACGCTAGTAGATTTATACTAAATAACAATAGAATACTTTTAAACTGTAGAATTCTGAAAATATCCTCTGTTTTGGCCATGTCTTTGTTGAGAAGAAAGAAGCTAAGAAACACAAAACCACCAACTACTGTCATTCCACCGCATTTAAATCAGGTACTAACCCATTGACTCCTGGAGCTTTTTACCAAAAATGCATTTTTTGAACATTTTGGAGATTTTCAGGCTGGATATGGGCCAAATTAGCTCCAATCTACTCAAAAAGGCATTTGCAACATGACAGCACGCCTTTCTTTCCACTAGCATCGCGTTTTATGGCATTTCCGGTCAGGCATGCGCAGAAATCAAAATTTTGAGACCTACGTCTTTAGGCTTTTCCATTTTTTTATTTTTTTTTCTCGCCTTTCCTTTTTCTCCTTTTCTTTTCTTTTTGCTACAGTGATTGACCTTCTACTGGGCTTGCTTCCAGTTTAAAACATTCTGAGAAAGCATCATCGAAACAGGCAATTTTTGCCTTGGAGTAGCCATGTGTAGGGGCAGGAAATTTTGCTCTGAGTTTTTCACTCAACTTTTTGAGCATTTTTGTGCATATCTCAGGCTCCATTGGGCCGATCACTCTGACCTGGGTATCATTGGAAAGATCTTTTCCTCCTGCCGAAGTTGAGCATAGATGATGCCAATTTTGGTCAAGGATGATGATGTCAGAAGTGGAAGAAAGGCCAAGGCTTGGGACGGCTGGTTACGACCGGCATAGGAGTCAATGGGTTAAAAGCAAGCAGTCATCAAGCGTCAATCTCTCAAAATGTGTCAGGGATTTTCTGTATTCTTATTGGTTATCTTTTTATAGACCAATTAAGTTATAGCACAGAATAATTTGCCAACCGTCTTGCATTTGCAGCCGTCGCAAGATAGATATCCATGATATCAAAAGTCCCTGATACACTTTTGTTCCTCGATGCTTGGGGAATGTTCTGGCCAAATTTCATGAAAATCTTCCAATTCTACATACCCTATCAATTCAGTTAAAGAGATGGTATTCTCGCAAAAAAAACTATTGCGAGTTATTGCCATTTGAAGAGTTGTAAACACGTCACACCCTTACTTGGATGTATGTCAACAGAATATGCTGCCAGCCAATGAAATCATGGCACCCCTAGCGTTCACAGCAAGTGAAATGATTTTGGTGGGAACCCCAAGGCCAAATAGCGTAACAGTCACATTCCCCTTGGTTGAACTTCAGCATGCATTTATAGAGCAGTCTTCACCTCTCGTGAGAAATGGGGAAAACCAAGAAAAATACACGGGGCAAGAGTACGGATACGAGTATGCATGATCCCTTGCTGCTGTCAGTCAAAGTTTTCTTCAAGTGTCCTTGAGAAATTCTGCTTTAGTCTTCTTCTTAGGTACTGGCTTCGATTTTTTCACTGTGCAAGGACTTTTCTCTTCCTTTTTAGCATGTTTCATGACCTCAATAAGGAGTGACAGGTAGCATGGAAGAGCAAATTAATTCAAGAACACAACTGCAAAATAGCGAGTAAACAAGAAAATTCTAATGATTGCCCTTGTAATAAGAGTTGCTGAAGGAAGCTGTTTCATGCAAAAAGTCAACGTGCTATGAAGATTATGACACCTATCTGTTTTGTTAACTTTTATTTTAAAAAAAAACCTTTTTTTCCCAAATAACTCAGGTACCTTTTCAGGGCTCAAAAATTTCTCTGAAGTCTTTATAGCCGTGGGCTAGCTAGTAATATTGTTTTACTAGCCCAGAGCCTGAGAGCTCTAGCCCAGTACACATTTGTTATGTGAGCCAGTCTCATGCTTAGGTACACACACACATGCACGCACACACACACACACACACACACACAATAATTGGATGTTGATATTTTATAAGTTTCAATTATTGAAACTTATAAAATATCAACATCCATTTAATCCAATTCTGAATTTCGAGTACTGCCAGTTTAAATTCAGTGCTTGAAATCAACTTTCTTTTGGAAACACAACAGTCTACTACAAACATCAACTTTCGGTGTGAGAATCATTAGCTACATTGAACATGTTCAGTTCAGCTACTTCTTCACCAAGTTGACCTCCAGTGAAGTGGCTTCTGAAGACCTTTTTTAGGGGCCAATTTTTTTAGGAAAATGGCCAATAAATAATAATTGGTAAAAACTAGTTGCTAAATGCAAATTTTTGGTCACCAGATATACCGGTATGAAGGATCCGTGCATTAAAAGAGAACAATCCATAGGCATACATGACATAGTCAATGATCAAGGGTTTGCAATGCAATTAATAGGACAATTTCAAACACGGTCAGCCATTTGGAAGTTTTCCGTCAGAGAATCAATACAGCAAAGCAAAAGGATGGATTGAATTCTTTTCTTATGTTAAATGTTTTAGAAGCAAAAATCTTTCAATATGGTTTTCTAGAAGGTCATAATGTGTGAGGAAATAACCGTCATTGATCATCAACACAGAGAAATGTAGCCGCCATCATGGCAACTAAACCAGAATTTTTGGTTGCCAAGGATGAAAATGTTAGTTGCATTGATGACGCTATCGGTCACAATTTGAAGCCCTGGAATGGCTTTTAAAATACTATGCCTGTGTTAAGCCTGCACCCTTGTAAAAGGAAAGGGCTAAATTGGCCCTTTTTTCGTTTTTCTGGGGGCCATCTCTGATTGCAACCCGGGATTCACACACCGGAAACACTGGGCATAGGTGGTAATAGATAGCAATAGTACAGACTTTTCATGTGATTAATTTCACAAGAAACATCTTTTCTAAATATTTCATTGTAAATCTTGCCCGTCAATTCAACAACTTGGCTTTTAAGTGGCTTGCTAGCCCACTGGGCTAGTAAAGTATTTTATTCACTAGCCAAACGAAAACATTTACTAGCTCCAGGAGTCGGACTAGTGGATTTTTTGAACCCTGATTTTAAGATTTCACCCTCATTTTTTAGGAAACGTTAGATTTTATAGTGTGACCTTTTTGCTTTGCTTAAAAAGAAAATTTTGGCAAAAGTAGCACTCTTGAGGTATTGCGTAACCTTAATGAACAATATTACAGGAGAACATCAAGCATGATCTTGTAATCTTTGTATTCTGTTTTAAGCTGTCCTCAAATTCATTGGATTGACTTGTTCAATGTAATGTAATTTGGAATTTCAAAAGGTCTAGATAGCAGCAGACATGTAAAGATTTTAAGGAAAACGACCAATTTTTTAAGTTTAAAAGACATGTTTCAACAGAACTTCTGTCATCTTCAGTTGAATGAATGATTACAAAGCAAGTTGAATAATAAGTAGGCAAAAATGCTAATTAAGACAATTTGGAATTTGTATTAAAGATTAAAGATAAAGATGATACCAGAAGAGATGTTAACCAAAAAAACAAGTATTGTTCATTCAGTTCAAATTGTGGCAGGAGTCAAGGTGACAGATTTACCTACCCTTTCATATACCTAAAGCCTGAAGGTACCCCTTTCAGTGGGAACCTCCCCATATAGGCCATTATAAGGAGTAACCCCACAGGTGTGTAGTAAAGGCCTCTGTTGTCAAGAGTCAATAGATGCCCTCAATTGAGACCCTTGATCAACACTTGATTGATACTCAATTGACATTTGATTGACACCTCCATTGATATTGTTGCTTGACCAACATCTTGGTCGACAGTCGGTCAAGAGTCAACTTATTTTTGCACACATGCCAATTTGAGTGTTGATCGATGTATATGAGTCGGTCAACACTTGGCCGACTATCAACCGGCTATCGATCAAGTGTCGATCAGGTGTCGATCGAGATGTTCATAGAGTGTTGACCAAGTATCAATCAAGATGTCCATCAAGTGTTGATCAAGACGTTGATCAAGTGTTGAATCAGGGTTGAGCGAGGGTATCAGTTGACACTGGACTGTGAATGCCTTTAGTGCACAAGATCCCAATCACCAACAGTTTTATCCCACCTCACATTTTCATTCATCCCGTTTTTATTTTCCACTTATCCCTTTTCACAACAAAGTTAAACTAAATTTTACACTCATAATTCACAGATAATAAAGACTTACCCTTATTTTGCTGTGATGAAGGTGATCTATGGAGAGTTCTAAGATCAATGAATTAAGGAATACAAATGTATCTTAACTAACCTCATGTGGTTCAGAAAATACAGTATCCATTCCCAGGGGGGTACTTCAGTCAATTTTTGCTGCATACTTTCACTGGCCTCTCAGAACCCCTAGTCCATTATAGTCTATTCTGTGGCCAATTATAGACCCCATCTTAGACAGTTTTGGGCAAATTCGATTTTTGCAATCCCAACTAAGTCACTTTCTGTTTATGCATCTGCCTTATAAAGCCTTTTGACTAGTTCATCATAAAATGAACTTACACAGTTTTTTAACTGAGTGCAGCACGGTATCAACTTTTTCACCTCAGATCTGCCCATTTTTAAATCCCTATTTGCCAGGATTTTCTTACCTCAGAAATGTGCAACCCCATTCTAGTAATTCAAATGAAAATGCGACCCCATCATAGTCAATCGAGTTGTGACAATGTGACCCCATTCAGCGGCACATCGCCATTAGCCTATAACTAGCTAGGAAGTACCCTCTTCCCACACAGAAAAGTAAGCTCAAGTTTACCATAAACTTATAACTCACAGAGAGATCAAGCCTGAATGACTATTGATGATTATTTACGAGTCTATTTACGCCCTGAATAATACTATAACAAGGATACTGTCGTGGTGGTCTTCGTTGAAAAACCATTGCTGGAGGGGAAGCGGAAGCTTTCTTCTTCTGCATAGCGGCGTAAGTAATCAGAAATTCCTTTAAATGAAGAATAAAAATGTTAAAACATTCAAAACCACACAAAAAGGTAACTACGTATCTGTAGATAATACTGGGTGCTTTTCTCTTTGTTTTCTAAATGATATTGCAAGATTATTGGAGAGTTTCAAGCATATTAGTAATCGTCTTAAACTTACAGACGAACATAAGTCAGTGCGTAAATCGGCCCGATATGCCTGCTCTATTATTGGCGACTGCTCTGTTCAATCTCAACCGCGTTCCCAGGGTCTCTCAGGGGCGGGAAGATGAGAGACCCTGGGAACAAGGTTGTCTCATTCCAACACCCACGCGCCGACATATCTTTGTATGTAAACCGCTGGATACCCCTGTAAATACTACAGTTATGCACTATACCCTTGCAGAACCACGCAACATGCATGCACTCCTTTTTGTGACAATCACTGATAACCGATCTAACACATCTTGATAACATCTTGCATAATTTGGCCCTGTAAACACCTATAATTACCCACCAATTTTAACCACTCCGTTTGTGGTTGCTAGGGTGATAATTCACTTTTTTTGGGGACGGATTGGCCCTTTGCAGCTGGGGTCACGTGACTAAATTTTTCTTAGAAAATTTTTATATTATGGGCTATAACTTAAAGAATGCCAGAAATGGAAAGAGCGCATCGAAAATACCAAAATGGCCAAGTTTGAGGCCCAAGGAATTAAAGAGTAAGTTTATACGACAGTTTGAATTTTCGGAAAATTTAGAGGATTTGTATGGAAAATGTTGCTAGAGAGCGAGGTCTTGCTCTCCAACAACTTTTTCCATACAAATCTTCTTATTCTTTCAAAAATTCAGACCGTCAAAAAATCTCATTCTTTAATGATGGGGGCCTCAA